ATCTGCAGCAGTGAATTAGGATAATCAAAAATTCAAAGTTGTAGTGTATGCAAATCTGATATAAAAGGCAAGTGATTTAAGGAGCACAGCTATGAAACACTTCAAACACAATTGTACCATCGGTTGATTATTTTGAATTGGTGTGTGTAATGCCATTAATGAGCATCCTGCTACTTCCCAAGATTGAATCACAACTAAATAATGATGTAAAAAAAAGTCTTAAATTTTAAGTTAAAAAATTACAGTTGAGCCTGGTAACAGTTTTGGAGGTTTTTTTAAGTTCCATTGAGATCAGGCTTTTTTCTAGATTTTAATGCCCATTATGTGGTTAAACAGGTGTATTACAAGCCCTGTGTCTGACAACATCCTTTTGTCTGCAAACTAGTGATTTTTTTTTTTAATAGGTTTTAGTCCAGTTGTTCTTATGTTTGTCATATGCAAGATGAATTTAAGTTCCTGCGATTGCATTCAGGCTGCTCCTGTAATGAAGATTTCCATATTTTATCTGGAATTGATATTTGGGGGTGAAAGCTAAAGTTGAAAAGGTTGAAGTACCTGTGATGGATTGTCATCCCCCCGGGGTGCAGTCTTGAAGCCGTTGGAACCTCTGTGCCCCCTAACAATTCAACTAGGTTGGCCTTTCTCACATTGCTCTGCTGATACGCAGCCAGCCTCTCCAGGGACTGTTATCCCCCAACGCAATTGCCACACACCCAACTGAGTTACCTGAGTGCTTTACCTAAGCTACTCAAGGATCAATTATATAAGCACCAGCCAATTTCTTAGCTCCCCAGCCTTTCACTCCTACTGGAGTATAAACCCAGAATTATACTGTCTTGCACTGAACTGGGATCTGTATAGTGCAAGCTCATTAATAGAGTTCACTCCACCCTTGCTGTGGGGAAGATATGCAACAACCCTGTGTTAACCAAGCTGAGATTTTCCCAAACACTTCACTCAGAAACCCACGGGTTATGATAAAACATAAAACAAGTTTATTAACTACAGAAAGATAGATTTTAAGTGATAACAAACAAATTAAAGCTGGTTACCTAGGAAATTAAATAAAAACACAAACTAAGCCCAATATACTAGATAGGATTTGAATCAGCAATATACAAGTAGTCCAACAAGTTGCCATACACAAGCTAGAATTCCCTTTAACCTGGGACCAGTACTTCTCCCATTTTAATCTTTGTTCATCAGGTGTGCTCTTGTGTAGGGAGTGAGGCCCAGAAGTGATGTCACTCCCCATCTTTTATAGCCTTTCCATATGGTAGGAACTCTTTGTTCCAAGCTAAGTTCCCGGCCCAGTTTGTGGAAGAATACAGGTACCAAAATGGAGTTCATTATCATGTGGTCTGGTCATATGCCCTTGCATGCCTTGCTGAGTCATAGCAGCCCTTCTCCGTAGGCTGTCTGAAGCATTTTTGGGAAGGCTCACCAGGTGCAGGATAAGCTTCTCCCAAAGCCTATTGTTTTCCTTAATGGACCATTACCTTGAATAGGCCCTTCACAATCAGCTGTCTAGACTGGAAGCATCTTGCCCAGTGGATGTCACCCAGGTGTAACCACATTTGAAATACAGATACAAAGTCAATATTCATAACTCCAGATACAAAAATGATACATGACTCCAAATAGGATAATCGAATTCAGCAAATCATAACTTTTTCAATGAGACCTCACATGACACATTCTGTACAAGGTGCATCATAATTGTCATAATTACATTATATTCATACTACTATGAGGAATATGAGGTGCAGAGTGTCCAAGTACCTTCTTACCAGCAGATACCGGAACAAATCAAAGAAGCTCCAAATGTTCATGCCCTTCCTGGCCTCTCGAATTCCCAGGTACAATCTTTGTGCTATTATTAGCCAATTTTCACATTGTGGAATCATTGCAAACTAACAAGGTTGATGGTATGTAGACTGGCAGTGGTGCAAAGGATACTGGAAACAGTAGACGTGTACAACTGTAGTCCACGAAAGCTTATGCTCTAATAAATTTGTTAGTCTCTAAGGTGCCACAAGTACTCCTGTTCTTTTTGCAGATACAGACTAACACGGCTGCTACTCTGAAACATGATTATATTTGCTAATGCATTCTCCTTCAAAATAGAATAAAAACTTAGCTGATAAATATATTTTGATATGAATGGCCAAATTTCACTCTAGTGAATTGCACCTACTTACAGAGAAGCTGAATTTGGGCCAAAGAGAAGGCACTGGTCTAGATCTATGTGGTGCTAACCCATGATCCAGCAATGACCGTGTCCATGTCTCAGTACTCTGTGGTGGATTTGTGTTTGGTAACCCAGTTTGGTCATATTCCTTTGCAAGGTACGACCCACGACACAACAAATGGTTCCAGATCCAGTCCCTGCAGCAAGAGCATGCTGACCTCTGTGTCTGTGTTGTGGACAAATATATATATGCTGTCGCAGGGCGAGACTATCATGAAGACCTAAGGGAGGTAGAGAGGTATGATCCAAAAACCAACACGTGGGAATACATGGCACCGCTGAGGAAGGAGGTAAGGAATGCACATGCCAGGAAACGCTAATAAGCTCCCTTAATATTTGCCTTCATCTTTCCTAAATGCTTTTTGCTACTTTTCTCAAGCATACCTCTCAATCTGCAAAAATTCTGGTGGCTGTCAGTCGCTTCTGTGTATGGCACAAAAAATAGTAAGAAGGATACTTAAAATATCACTGGATCTGCTTCTTTGTCATGGGTATGTTCTCTCTAACTGATATAAAATGCTAGGCCTTAAAAATTAAATCAGATTGAGACATTAATTTTGCATTTGCACACAATCAAGGTAAACGTCCTATGTGCATGACAGAGGTTAGTTTGGGTGTAATATTAAGCCAGTATACCTTTCTGTGAGAATGGTTGAGAGGTATGTTCTGAAGTGGCAGCTCCATAGAAGTTGGAAGTTTGTATTATACTTTACAAAGAAAAGTAGTTCCTAAATAATGTAGGATCTGATCCAGAGAGGTACTGACAACCTGCAAGTCCCATCACTTTTAGTCAAAGTTGCAGGTGCTCTATATGTCTCAGGATCAAGCCCAAAAGTGGTATGGGCAGAGAGGGAAAAAATCCCTAAGTGTATGAGTACCAGGGACAATGTACGTATGACCTCCCATTGAAATTAGGTGCTTGTCTTCCTGTTTTCTTACTAGTTTCCCCCTGTAAATGTTAACTTTTATTATTGTTTACAAAAAAATGTAACATTTAATTTTATGCTGGTGAAAGGTGCCTGATTCATAGCCTTGGAGAATGAAGGCCTCTGTTTATTCCCAGAATGGATACAGCTTGGGCAGCAGTAGTGCAAGCTTCCCCCGTCTCAGCCCTGATCTGAAAGGAGTACCTCTAGGGTGATAGGGTAAGTCAGTCTCTATGGCCCATTCAGTCGTTGGCCACTGTTCTGAGACTGCACGCAAAGGTGCCAGTGGTGGAGGCTTATGTGATGTGACTCTCAAACAAGGGTGCCGATGGTGGAGGTTTATGTGATGTGGCCATCAGCTCTCGGTGAACTAAATTGAGACCACTGCACTCTTTTGAGATAAGACACTGAACAGCCACTTACATAGTATTTATCCTTCTAAGTTTTCTATTTAACCAGCCAAGAAGTGCTATTTTTAGGTCTCTAACAGACTGTCACAAAACAAGGAGGACACAAATAAAAACTTCATGCAAAAGTTCTTGATGACCATTTTGGCTAGGAAAGAGAAGTAAAATTCTAATTAACCTTTTCAAGAAATTATGCTGAATCCTACTGTAGCAGGTTAACAATACAAAATAAAACCACTTCACAATGCTTCTTATCTGAAAACCTCAAGTCACTTTACAAACACGTAAGTATTATTCCCATTTTACAGATGGGGAATGGAGGCACAGAGAGGTGAAATGACTTGCCTGAGGTCACAAATAACAAATCAGTTTGGGAATAGAACCCAGGGCTTATGACTTGCTCAAGTTCTATCCACTAGGCTATTCTGCCTTTCTGATAACATTGTTAAAACTTCTGTAAGACTTAATTTCTACACAGGGCTTCAAAAAAGGCAAGGGAGGAAAGCAATGGTATTGAAGAGGTGCTAATTCAGGAGCAATTCTACTTAATTTCAGTTCAAGGACTGATCCTCACACCTATGGAATAATAGCGTACATAGAATCCTTCCAAATGTTGGCTTCTAAGTAATCAGAGGAAGACACCATCTCTGATGTCATGTATTGCCAGGAGATTTATATTCCATACTTACTGTGCTTGAAGCTGGAGGAAACACAAAAAATGAAACCTGTTATTCCCCTCTTTGCCTTTTTTTGTGATGGTGTAGGTGTACGCACATGCTGGAGCAGCATTGGATGGAAAGATGTATATTACATGTGGGAGGAGAGGAGATGATTATTTGAAGGAACTACACTGTTATGATCCAGGGGCTGATCGCTGGGACAGCTTAGCTGATGGTCCAGTCAGACGTGCCTGGCATGGGATGGCTGCACTCCTGGGAAAGCTGTACGTGATTGGAGGTAGCAACAATGACTCTGGCTATAGGAGAGATGTTCACCAGGTGAGATGATGTAATGGCTATTTCCTGCCGGGACACGTGACACTCGCATTGTGTCATCATACCTTCCTCCCATTGAGCATAAACACAAAACTACCAGCCACACACTAACTACTGGGCTGCCTCTCCTCCATCTAACTGACAAACATTGCAGTGCTTTACTTACTACTCCCACCCCTGCATGCATTCTCTTGACTCCACCAACATTAAAACTCTTAGGCCTTGGCTACACTTGCAGATGTACAGCGCTGTGAGTTAAACCTGACCAGGGCCAGCTCCAGGCACTAGCGCAGCATGCAGGTGCTTGGGGCATCCAATGGAAAGGGGCGACATGTCTGGGTCTTCGGCAGCAGGTCCCTCTCCGAGGGAAGGACCGGCCGCCGAATTGTCGCCGAAGAATGAAGCTGCCAAAGTGCTGCCAATCGCGGCTTTTTTTTTTTCCCTCTCTCTCTTCGCCGTGCTTGGGGCAGCAAAAAAGCTGGAGCCGGCCCTGAACCTGAATTCATGCAGCTGAGTAGGGAAAGAGCTACAGTCTGTCCACACTGACAGCTGCCCAGCTCACTGTCATGGCCACATTTGCGGCAATTGCAGCGCTATTGGGAGCGGTGCATTATGGGCAGCTATCCCACGGAGCACCTTTTCCCATTCTGGCGCTGTGGGTTGTGGGAAGGGGGCGTGGGTGCGGGGGATTCTGGGTCCTGTCCCAATGCCCCGTGATGCATCGCTTCGCATCCCAGAAATCCCTTTGTTTCCATCCACCTTTGGCACCATATTTCAACGGTTTCTGTGCAACGCGATCTGTCTGCGGGAAATGGAGTCCGAACTGCTGAGGCGTATGCTGACAAGTCTCGCCAGCACATCACGTTTGGCTGTCAAACTATTCCTTAACATCCAAAGTGACAGTGAGAGTGAGGGTGAGGACTCTGACGATGCTATTGAGCCGCATAACGCGTACGACACGAAATTGCTTGTGGCATTCACGGACTTGCTCAGCACCGTGGAACGCCGCTTCTGGGCTCGGGAAACAAGCACCGAGTGGTGGGATCACATCGTCATGGAAGTCTGGGATGACGAGCAGTGGCTGCAGAACTTTTGGATGAGAAAAGCCACTTTCATGGGATTGTGTGAGGAGCTCGCCCCCATCCTGCGGCGCAAGGACACGAGATTGAGAGCTGCCCTGCCAGTGGAGAAGCAGGTGGCTATTGCAATCTGGAAGCTAGCAACTCCAGACAGCTACCGGTCGGTCGCAAACCAGTTTGGAGTGGGAAAGTCAACCGTTGGAATCGTGTTGATGCAAGTTTGCAAGGCCATTAATCGCATCCTACTCAGAAGAACCATGACTCTGGGTAACGTGCAGGAAATAGTGGATGGCTTTGCACAAATGGGGTTCCCTAACTATGGAGGGGCGATAGATGGGACGCACATTCCTATTCTGGCATCACCCCACCTAGGATCCGAGTACATTAATCGGAAGGGGTATTTCTCTATGGTTCTCCAGGCGCTTGTGGATCACCGGGGGCGTTTTATTGACATTAACACAGGCTGGCCTGGAAAGGTGCATGACGCACCCATCTTTCGGAACACTTGGCTGTTCAGGAAGATGCAGGCCGGGACTTTTTTCCCAGAGCGGAAGATCACGGTAGGGGAAGTTGAAATGCCAATTGAGATCCTTGGAATTCCGCTTACCCGTTAATGCCGTGGCTCATGAAACCATACACAGGGAGCCTTGACAGCAGCAAGGAATGGTTCAACTACAGGCTGAGCTGGTGCCGAATGACTGTGGAGTGTGCCTTTGGCCGTTTAAAGGCCTGCTGGTGATCTCTGTATGGGAAGCTGGACTTGACCGAAAACAGCATCGCCGGGTTATATCCGCGTGCTGCGCCCTCCATAATATTTGTGAAGGGAAGGGTGAAAGCTTCACTCAGGCATGGACCGCCGAGGTTCAACACCTGGA